ATAGATAAACTAGATGAGACAAACTATGTGATCGTACTGTGACCCAGGTCTTTAAGAAAAGAAAGGGAATTTAGAGAATTATGAAGTATGGAGAAGTGATAGAAATATCTCTTAATTCTGAGCTGAAAAAAGTTCCTTTTTAAAAAACATTTCTATTATGAAATCAGTTTTTCCACTTTGAGCATTAGATTGGAATGGCAACATGGTTGTGATCCACAGATACACAGCTCAATGGCTGACCACTGTTAACCATCCTGGTTTTTTCGAATTGATTGGTCTCTGCCCTGGAATAATCAGCATATAACCATTTTCATCAAGGTCATAAACAGAAATAAAATATATAACATATATACACTTACCATTGTTTGCTTTAAGATTAAATAGCAAGGGAAGTCATGTTTAACATTTATAGCTTCACTGTCCTTGTTCAGCTGAATGCAGATACCACAATTTAACTCTACTTACTTGGAAAGAAATGTGCAACAATAATCTAACTGCACCTTGAACAGGAGAGATGTGATTCACCATCATAAACAATAGATTTGGAATGGATAGTTATGAACAGATGTTACATGTCTATTGAAAGAGGTGTCAAAAGAGGAGAAAGTGCAAAGCCATGTGCAACCTCAGAAAAGTTAGCTGCAGATAGTTTCATAACAAACTGGTGGATCAGTGTTTCATGAATCAAATTGTTTCATCATGTATTGCCAACTGATTGCTTTGAGAATCTGTAGTAGAGAAGGATACTTTAACCACATCTAGTTTCTATTTGCTTTGTACTTATACCAATTATGCATGCCGGCTGGAAATGTCTTGTAGGTTGGTTGAACTCATAGCTTTGATTTCCAAAATTTGAATGCATGGTAGAAGATTACGTCCTTAAATTAGTTTAATGTGAATAATAACTTGCTTCTTATTTTAATAGGTTTCCTCCTTCTCAAAAGAAAAGGGGAGGATTGACAAAATTAAACCCACTCTGTTTCACTTCCAGCAAATTGCCTAGTCTGTTTCTCCTAGGCTCCAAGTTACTGCAGAAATCACAGCAAACTCACATTGGCAAAACAAAGTTTTGTTGGTTTACAGTATATGTAATAACACGGGAGACACAGAGATTATTATAATCAATGAGTGATAGCCCTGCCCTAAATCAAATGATTGTTCAATGAATTGAATTGAATTTATTGAATTTATTGCATTTATATGCTGCCCTTTTCCCTGAAGGGGACTCAATGAAGACACCATTGATTATCTCAGCCACAATGTCTAAAGGCAGTGGACCCCAACCTTTGCAACTTGGCAGTCCGACTGGGGAGGGAGAGGGGATCTGGGTTGCATCAGCACATGATGTACATGCACAGCTCCATTTGCATGGTGGACCAGTGTGCATGCTAGCACAAATGGAGCTGTGCATGTACATCATGTGCTGATGCAACCCAGATCCCCTCTCCCTCCCCAGTCGGACTGCCAAGTTGCAAAGGTTGGGGTCCACTGCCTTTAGACATTGTGGCTGAGATAATCAATGGTGTCTTCATTGAACAATCATTTGATTTAGGGCAAGGCTATCACTCATTGATTATTATAATCTCTGTGTCTCCCATGTTATTACATATACTGTAAACCAACAAAACTTTGTTTTGCCAATGTGAATTTGCTGTGATTTCTGCAGTAACTTGGAGCCTAGGAGAAACAGACTAGGCAATTTGCTGGAAGTGAAACAGAGTGGGTTTAATTTTG